TGCAGTTTCACAAGTATATGAGGCATCTCCTGGAACCCCTAGACTCTTTTGCAATCGTTTGACTTCTTCTAAAAGTTCTATTCTTCGAGCCAGGACATAATTAACTCTTCCATACCTAGAAATTTCAATTAGGCAAAAAGGCAAAACTGTGTAATGAAGAGACTTTGAAGGAAACTATCAGGAAAATTCAAGAAAATCATAATAGAAAATATAAATGTCCAAATAGAAATAAAAACAGTAGAAAACAAAGTTTATATTTTACTGGAAGTCATAGTTCTTGGGTTACTTTACACCAAAGCTATTTGAAGTGTACCTTATGGACCAGTGCTGATCTGCAAATGAGTTACTGGTCGTGAGGAGGGAAAACCAACTATGTCACTAAACACGTCATTTAATTTGGCTACCATTTTTTTTTTATAACAAGACTTTCACAAAGAAGGACACAGTACAGTGAATTCTGGTCCTAGTTCATCTCATCACAGACCAAGAACATATACTTTACAGATTGGCTGATTTGAATAGCACTATTTTACACTGTTGGCACCCAAACCTAGCAGGTTCATAAATATATGCTCAATGAGTAAGAAAATTGAAGCATGGAGAGTGCCTGTTTCAAAAATACACAGTTAGGAAAGAAAGTAGTAGAATCAGAATGAGATGCCAAAGTCTATACACACTCTTTCCACAATAACAAAGTGCATCCTATAACCCTTTAATGCTTAAAACAAGACTAAAATGGTTTAATCACTGCTGTTAACATGCTTAAAGATTTGACAAAACAAGAAGTCTTGCTCCTAGCTGCTTCATGGTTCAGAGATTCACCTTTGAGGCAGCAAGAAATGATCAAGAGTAAAAAAGAAACGTAAGACACAGTCTATGTTTTGAAGAATTTTTCAACTTGGATATAAACATTATAGCAGGTACTTTTTTCATCTTGCTTATATATAATTTAAAATTTTATCTACAATGAACACTTTGCTGATGAGAAAAAAATTAGGAATGCTTATAAAGACTTTGCAATAAAATGCAAAAATTTTTGTGCCAATGTAAATTTAAAAAGCAATGTACACTACAATAGAACTCTATGTACTGTCTGTTAAATTAGTACATTATACTTAAAAAATAAAGTTTATTATTTTTAAAAAGCAATATATAAAACTACAAATAATAGCCTGATTAAAGAAAAAGACTAACAAAAAGTTGTTTGGGAGTAGTGGAATTATGGATGATCACTCCCTCTCTACCATTTCACTAGGTGCTAAAATTTTTTCTTTATAGGGAGTTATGTTACTTTTATTGTAAAACAATAGTCATTATTCTTTTTAATTATGACAGAGAGAAATGAAAGAATATGCCCATCAAATGAATATACACATACTAATAAGACCAAAGGCTTGGCTTGTGTATCAGAAAGCAAAAAGTATTCTTTTTTCCCAGAAATTTGGTGGTATATGAAATCATTTTAAAAATTCTACTTCTGGCCTGGGTGCAGTGACACATGCCTATAACCCTAGCACTTTGGGAGGCTGAGGCAGGAGGA